CTTATCAGTCCCCCTCCTCCGCTCACATGGTAACGTCGCGATCCGCGCAAGCGCCGTCTGGCGAAGGGCCACAGGTTAGTTGGTTCCCAGACGGCGCTGGCACAGATCGTGACGTTACCGGCCCCTCCCCCCTTTCACACAGACACACACACACACTCACACACACATTCACACACAAACACACACACACACAAACAAACATACACACTCTCTCACACACACACATACAAAAACACACACTCACGCGTTAACGCCCGCTACAGCCAGAGGATGCCGAAAAACAAGCTCCAGCGGCCCTACAGGAGGCCTCTGGAGGTCCCCCAGTCCAGCCACCCGACGACGTGACCTTTTCCAAGCGGGCCCCAGCAGACCAGACCAGACCCCTTCCCCTGGGGACGGCTTTTTTTACGACGACACGGGAGCGATGAAAATACATAGCATCCGAACGCAACCTGATGGGAGTTCCCAAGACTGGAGCAAAAGAGGCCATACCTGACGACAGGGCGGCCTCGCCTGGCACTGGGGAGACCAAAAGGTACCGATACCGCTGCTCCCCGGACCTCTCCAGGGGCGCGTTCCGACCAGGATTTCGAGGCGAATCCAACGGTGGCGACGAGGGCCTCCCAGGAGTCGCAAAAAGGGGGAGAACGAGAAAAGAGTAGCGGTACATCAGCGTGAACACACTGATGGGCCTGTTTTGCACCACCACCACCACCATAAGTTGGAGGAGGAGGAGGAGGAGGAGGAGGAGGAGGACCCCCTCTCCCTCCAACTCATGGTGGTGGTGGAAAGCAGGCCCATCACACACAGCCGGCGCTCGTCCGGTGCCCAAATCCGTGCCAGATCGCCCCGGCGGCCCGGCCGTGGGCCCCTCGGGGGCGGCAAAGGGGGGGGGCTTCCCAGAGGGGGGGGGGTGCAAGTCATGACCGGCGGCACGTGCGCGGCCCAGCGGGAGGGGGCCAGGGACGTGATGAAACAAGAAGAGGCGCCACGAGATCCCCCCCCTAGTCATCCCCCCCTAGTCATCCCCCCTAGTCATCCCCCCCCTCTTTTCCGCCCCCTCTTTTCCTAGTCATCCCCCCCTAGTCATCCCCCCTAGTCATCCCCCTAGTCATCCCCCCCCCCCTAGTCATCCCCCCCCTCTTTTCCGCCCCCGAGGAGGAGAGACGCCGGATGTGGCGAGGGCGGGACCCGTCGCCGGAGGTCCCGGGGGGCGGCCCGCCCAGAGCCACGGCGGCGAGACCTCCGTCGCGGGGTGGGCCTGCGGAACGCTCGACGCGGCCCGAGCCGCTGCGTCTCGGGCTTTCTGGGGAGGGGCGCCAACAGGCCGCGGCGCAGCGGATGTACTGCAACAGCAACAACAACAACAACAACAACAAGAACAACAACAACAACAACAACAACAACAACAACAACAACAACAACAACAACAACAACAACAACAACAACAACAACAAACAACAACAACAACACCAACAACAACAACAACAACAACAACAACAACAACAACAACAACAACAACAACAACAACAACAACCATTTTAAGGCTGTACGCTCTTACTTGCCCGCGAGTCACTCAACACGTATACCCTACACCCTCGATACCCGCCCTCTTCGTCTTCGATCACACCCCTTTCGGGGGGATTATTTCTCTTTGCTGGGGCCGGCGGGCTTAGACGTACGGGCAAACCGGAACGGGCGGACAATCCTTCGGGGGCGTACATCTCTCTGCCCGCCATTGGAATTGGCGCGGGCCCTGCAAGAGGAGGAGGGGAAGAACGAGGGAGAGTGGGAGGAAGGGGAGGGGGAAGGACGAAGGAAGAGGGAAGATACCACGTTGTGAAGGCGTCCTTGGCGCGTGCGTGGTTCCTGAGCGCCGAAACGCAATTCCAGAATAATTTGTGAGGACGTCGCACGCGAGAGCGCAGTCCTGAGTACATTGTGAGGAAATCTCGGCGGAAGCGGGGGCCCTGACTAAGTTGCGAGGAAGTCTCAAGCGGGAGCGCCGTTCCTGAGCAAATTGCACGGAAGTCTCAGGCGGGAGCGGGGGTCCTCACTAAATTGCGAGGAAGTCTCAGGCGGGAGCGCCGTTCCTGAGTCAATTGCGCGGAAATGTCAGGCAGGAGCGGGGGTCCTGAGTAAAATTCGAAGAAGTCTCAGGCGGGAGCGCCGTTCCCACGTAAATTGCACGGAAGTCTCAGGCGGGAGCGGGGGTCTTGATTACATTGCGAGGAAGTCTCAGACGGGAGCGCCTTTCCTGAGTAAATTGCGCGGAAGTCTCAGGCGGGAGCGGGGGTCCTGAGTAAAAATCGAGGAAGTCTCAGACGGGAGCCGTTGTTGTTTTAGCCCATGGGGCAGGGGCACAGTTTGAGCAGGAAGACTTTCCTTGAGAAAAAACAAGGTGCGAGCCCCGGGGGTGGCACTTCAATCGAAAAAAATCAATGTGCTCCGGTGGGGGGGGATCAACAATGATTATTCTTCAAGAATGAGAGTTCAACAACAACAACAACAACAAAACAAAAACAAAAACAAAAACAAAAAAAATGCCCCTGGGGGCGAAACTGGTTTATCCACATCCACGGCGCCTCTAGCATCGGAAGAAGGGAGCCCCGAAACTCCAAGACGCCGTGGATATGACCCCTCGGGGCAAAACTGGTTTATCCAGGTCCACGGCGCCTCTGGTATCGGAGGAAGGGAGCCCCGAAACTCCAAGACGCAGTGGATGTAGATGTTTGAAGACATGTTGCCCGCACCCGTGACAGGCTTCTCATCCCGAGTCGTTCTTCGACTGTCCGGGGGCCCAGCCCCCAGAGGGCGACCATGGCAAGAGACCATCCGCCGCTCCGCCACTGGTTCCCTCACGCCGCGAGGGGGTGCGGCCCCGGATGTCTCCTGGAGTGCGCTCCGACCAGAACTTCGAGGGGAATCCAGCCGTGACGACGAGAGCGTCGCCGACGCCCACAGAGGCCCAGGAACGCCGAAAAGCCCCCCGAGCCTGGACCCTCTCGATGCTCGATCCTCGATGCAACGGGGTGCCTGGGGGGGGAAGTGAGAAGGGGCGGGCCTTCTCAGAAGGCTCGAAGTCCCCCGACCTTCTGAGAATTTCTCTGAGCCTTCCCCGGAGACACAGCACATTTCTCAGAAGGCGCGAGTGCTTCTGAGAAGTCCCGCGGCCTTCTGAGAAGGCCTTCTCCTTCTCACTTCCCCCCCTCGCTCGTCGCTGACTCAGGGGAGGAAGAGGGCACCGATACTGCTGACCCTTCCCCGTGTTCCCCTTTTTGGGCCTCCTGGGAGAACCCTCGTCGCCAGCGCTGGATTCGCCTCGGCGTTCTGGTCAGAATGTACCTCTGATCTGACTTACCGACTCGATGCTGACTGATCCTGGTCGCCGCCGAATTACGGAGGCCCTTCGGCGGTGGACAAACCTCCCTTTAGCGACGGACCTGGACCCGCAAAGATGACGGCCGCGACGCCCTCTCGCGAACCGAAAACGGCCAAGCCGCTAATCGACGTCTCAGGGCAGGAGGCCGATCGAACTCCGACGATTCTGCTCGCCGCCGAATGTCGGAGGCCCTCCTGGAGGCCTCCGCCCCTCCGAAGGCTCGCGGGGGTCCGCCGGCGCTGGCGCCGGCCGCTCGGAGGCGCGCGGCTGCGCCGCCGGCGGCGGCGCGGCGCCACGGGCCGCGTGGTCTCGGAGGGCGCTGGCGGCGCGGTTGCGCACGCGGGAGCCTGGCGCCGCCCGAGGGGGGTCCGAGCTCCGAGGTGCGGTTTGGTGTGTGTGTGTGTGTTTGCCGTGGCTTTCGTCGTCATGCGTTCGGGGCCGATGGGTCTGCTGTTTCTTCGGGGAGGGCTTTACGAGACTTCTCATATGGCCGGAGGACTTCCGGGCCCTCTGAGAAGGCCCGCCCCCAGGAGGGAGGGAGGAGGGGCAGGAAGGGGGGAGGGAAGCAGGGACGAAGAGGGGCAGAAGGAGGGAAGCAAGGCGAAGGGGGGGGGGGGGGAAGAGGCACGACGCGGAGGAGGGAGCGCCCTCCGCCCGCCCCTTCCCTGCTCCCTCGCCTGCCCCCTTCCCCACCGCTCCGCTCCCGGCCCACCGCGCTCGTGCTCCCAGTGCTCCCTCCCTCCCCCTCGCCCCTCGGGGGCCTTCCGCAAACCCCGTCCTCTCCCCTCCCGGGCTTCCCGCCTCCTCTCCTGGCCCTCGCCCCTCCTCTCCTGATCCTCCCCTTCGGCCCCTCCTCCCTTCCAGCCTCGTCTCGAGCCTCCTGCCCTCCCTCCTCGCACACGTGCTCGGAGCATGCCCTGGCGTGGCCCGCGGGCCGCAGCCCCTACCCAAGACCGCAGCGGAGGCAGACCGTTGCTGGCCGCTCCGGGCCGCCTTCGCGGCGCCAGGCCAAGACGCAGCCCAGAGAGGAGGGGCGGAGGGGGAGGGGGAGGATTTGTTGGCATCCACGCGTCTGCCAAGCAGTACTCCCTGGGGGGATGGCGCCTCCCCCCAGTGGAAGGGGCAGGGCTGGGTGGCGCCTCCTGCCACCTACGCCGCCAGCCTGCCCCGCCGCTGGCATCGAGGCACTCGCGGGGGGACTCACGCCGAGACGGGCGAGAAAAAAGGACGGAGTGGACGGGAAGAGGGAAGACGGCAGCAAGTCCCGCAGAGCCTGAGCCTCGGAAACAGCGGGTATCGAAAGACGTTCACGAAACGCCCGCTGAGCCAAGACACGCAGGGGAAGACCTCCAGACCCAGCGGGCGGTAACAGCGGGAGAAAGGCCGAGCGGGAGCAGCAATGGAAAGGACAGCACTAGGGCCCCAGATCGAGCCCACTGCCCAGCTCGGCACACTGTCATGCCTCCGCCGCGGGTGAAGCATCACCTTCAGCACCCCACGGCCGTGCAACAGCGGGGAGAGAGCCGAAACAGGTGCAGCAGTGAAAAGGACGGCACGAGGGCCCCAGATCGAACCCACTACACCCACCACGGCCCCCACGACGGCCCGAGGCGATGGCGCAAAAAGAGCGCCAAGAAAAGCAGCACAGAATGGACCAAGCAGCATCAGGTGGAGGCCCCTTTCAGGTTTTCCCACCCTACCCCCGCGGCCCGACTAAACGGGAGCTCGCGGTGTGTGGGATCAAAACTTGCCTTCACGGGAGGGGGCCTCAACACCTGGGCTGTCGGGCAAATGACGGACGATCAGTCAGAGTCGTCGGGGAACTCCGAAGACCGAGAGTGTGAAGACTGGCCGTCCAGACCATGCCAAATGGACCCGCTGGCGCCCAGAGGGCCGTCCTCCTCACCCCGAAGCTCGCCCCCACCCGCCGCCGAAGCTGAGGGAGGCTCGAGAGGAAGGAGATCGATCCTGAGGTGCGGCTCACGCGGATGCCGACCAGACATACGCTTGTTGAAATGAGTGCGGCCATTTCTGGCACGTTGATGATGGGAATCCGTGAAACTGCTGAAAAGTGTGAAGCAGAATGCGTGCGGCGCTCAGGCGAGAATCACATTTCGAAAACCACTCGCCCTCAATCCGTGAAACTCTTGCAAATTTCTACAGCGAATGTGCGCCGCGCATAAGCGAGAGCCACATGTTGAAAACGACCCGCCCTCAATCCGTGAAGCTCTCGCATGTGTAAAAACGAATGTGCGCTGCGCAAAGGCGAGAGCCACAGTTTGAAAACGACCCGCCCTCAATCCGCGAAAGTCTTGCGATGTGTTTAAACGAATGCGCGCCGCGCGAAGACGAGAGCCACATGTTGAAAACGGCCCGCCCTCCATCTGCGAAACGGTTGCCAATTCAGAATCATGAATGGTGACAGAGTCTCAGGCGAAACGCCGGGCCCGCCCTAAAAACTGGCCTCGGGGTGCGACAGGGAGAAGATATTGATAAGGAGAAGGACTGGAGGAGCGAGGAGGGAGAAGGAGAAGGAGGAGGAGGAGGAGGAGAAGAAGGAGGGAGCGGACGCCCCTCGCCCTGCACCTTCTGCGCCACTCCCCCGCCGCCGCTGCCCCTGCTCCTGCTCCTGCTCCTGCTCCTGCTCCTCCTCTTCCTCCTCCTCCTCCTCCTCCTTCTCCTCCTCCTCCTCCTGCTCCTCCTCCTCCTCCTGCTCCTCCCCCTTCTCCTGCTTATCCTCCTCTTCCTCCTCCTCTTCCTCCTCATCGTCCTCCTCCTCCTCGTCCTCCTCCTCCTCCCCCCTTCTCCTCCTCTTAGTCTGGGGGGAGGGGCGATCTGGCCAGGTTCGGTCTCGAGTCCGGCGGTCTTGCACAGAGGACTGCCACGGCCGCCCGCAGGCACTCCGAGCAGCTGAAGGACGACCCCCGGTGGGGGCGATCCCCCTTGTTCTTATTTGGGCTAGCGGGCTTTCGACGGCTGGTCCCACTTCGATTACAGCCCCTTCCATTCCATTCAATTCCGTTCCCTCTCATGAATTACATTCCTCCTCCTCCTCCTCCTCCTCCCACGCCTGATCCTCCTCCTCCTCCTCCTCCTCCTCCTCCTCCTCCTCCTCCTCCTCTTCCTGCTCCTCAGCATGAGTGTCGTTCTCCTTTCTCCCCGGATTCTGTGCGCCAGCGTGGCGCCGCATCTCCCGCCTGCTGCTAGGTCTGCGCTGGGCTTCGGTGCCTAGTCTGTGGAACGGCTCTGTTCGATCGGAGCGTCCTTTGTTTGCTGAACGTTCTCAGGGTTCCAAAGTTTGCGGATCGTTTGGCTTGCTGATCGTTTCTGCTCCCACACGGGATTGTAAAGCTTGGTCGTGCCTCCGGCTTGCGTCAAGCGCGAGCGCGTTCGGTGTCTCCAAATGGTGTTCTCACTGCAGCGCTGGCATCACTCCAGGATCGGCGCTTTGCTCCCGTCGATCTGGATGGCGCTCTCGCCGCGGCCTGGGCTAGAATTCGGGACCCGAGACCTTCCTCGTCGTTGACGTCCTTCCCTCCTTGACCCTCCTCCGCATTCCCCTGGCCTTCCTGTTCTTTCCGCTCCTCATACTCCTGCTCCTGCTGCTGCTGTTCATCCTCCCTCTCCCTCATCATCCTCTTCATTATGCTAATCCTCCACCTCCTCTAATGTACATAACTCCCGCATAACACGATCGTGTCATGCGGGGGGGGTCGAGTCTGCTATGACACCCTTCAGGGATGGGTGGGAGGGGTGGAATGACCCATGTGGCGCGAGCGCAAATAGCGTGTCCTCCTCCTCCTCCTCCTCCTCCTCCTCCTCCTCCTCCTCCTCCTCATCATCATCATCATCATCATCATCATCATCATCATCATCATCATCATCATCATCATCATCATCATCAGCATCAGCATCATCAGCAGCAGCATCATCATCATCATCATCATCATCATCATCATCATCATCATCATTATCACCACCACAAAAACACCACCACCACCATCACCAGCAGCATCATCATCATGAGCAGCATCAGTATCATCATCATCAGCAGCAGCAGCAGCAGGAACAACAGCAACATCGCCATCGTAAGATCGTCATCAGCATCACAACCACCA